GAAGCGTGATAGAAGGAACGCTGTCTTATCACACACAGAGTTAACATTTATTATTGCCATATCCAAAGTCCAGGTTCTGTCCTGCACACTGCAGACTCAGCAGAGCAGAGCTGAGTGTGTGTGTGCCAGCTGGCCTCTGACCTCCTGCGTGTGGGGCTGGCTTCAGCGCACGTCTCTGCCTCTCCTCCTTCCCAAGGCTGCAAGCATCAGGATGTTGCTGGCCTTTCTTTGATCTAACCAAGAGGAAATAGCAGCAACTCCCTGAGCGGGTGTCAGAACAATCCCCTGTTTTGCAGCACTGCCCAGCCATCAAAAGCACCTGATCCTCCAGCACAAGTACCTTACTGCATGCAGAGCAATGGCTCTGGGCTGTGGTTTGAGGATTGCTGCTTCTGTTTCTGATCTCAAGGCTGTATACAATAATGGTTGTCTATTTTTACCAACTTATTAGTTTAATAAAAGCAATTACCTCTATCTACAAATGTGTTTGTAGGTGCCCTTAAACCACCACTGCCCTGGTGTCACTGCTGCCCAGGTGTTATTTATGCAGCCCAGGTGCCTCACACCCCTTACCTGCAAGCACTAGGCAGTCACTAGGTCAGCAATGTTTTCAGGCAGCCCAGCATCTTTACACATTTACAGACATTCATCCTGCTGCTAGACAACCACAACGAGCCCCTTAGCTCAGTCTACTTCAACTCTCAGTCTATTTCAACAATTACTACCCGTCCAGCCAAATTTTGTGTTGCTGCTTCTTGTCACAAACACTGTGCACAGTGACCACCAGTGCCTTTGCTTCTGCCTTCGTGCCTTTTGTAGCCACTTACTGCAGAGCTATTTCCACATCTTGAAGTTTTCAGCTTGCTCCTGAAAGACACAGTTTATTGCCAAAGGGCAAGCTAAATAGTAAGACCACTGATGTTACTTTCTCAAGGACGGTGAAGCTGCAAGCAGAAAGGTGTTACTACAGTAAAAAATTAAGTGTCCACATAAAGACAGAATTCTCAGTCACTTGTATTCCTTTGCAAATAGCACGGAACTGTAGAAGATGTGGAATTTAGGGCTAGAAAAGTGGTAAAAGCATTTCTTACGGTGAACATCTGCTCTTACCCCTCTTGCAAAGTGAATTTGAGACAACCTCAAGTAACAGAGAAGAGCAGTAAAAGCCCCCAAATGCTTTTTACTTACCCAGAAGGAGAAATAAGAATAAACTGCCTTTTTTTTTTAGCTCTTTATCCAAACACATTATAAAGGACAAAAAGCAGCTCTAAGAGCATTTCCCATTAAAAAGTAGTAAAGGGGGAAGTTAAAATTTTTGAAAGCATGTAAAGTAATCACTAAATCTACTACTCACCATGTATAACTAGCTACAAAACTGTATTTATCTAGACAGATACATAATGATGGTTTTCATCCCTATGTAGTTCCATAAATCAATTGCTTATCTGAAGAGTGCTTGAAGTCCTCACCTATTCAGATGCTAACCAGTACAGCAGGAATGCCTTATTCCTGTATAAGGTTGTGATTTCATTCTCAAATGCTCTATCCTGGAATAGTTCAAATTCACATTTTAAAAGCAAAGTCTTCCCTTTCCATCATCAGCAGCTCCAAGAGACTACACCAGGCAGACCCAAACTATGAGCCTACTAGAGACAGTCACAACTGTGTGTTTTGTGATTGAACTTTTGCTGATGACCACTGCAAGTCTTCCTCTTTGAGCAGTCCTGCCAGTGTTCAGCCAGTCTATAGGGACTCACCCCCCAACTGCATGGCAACATCAAGTTGATTCTCTTGCTTTTACAGCATCAGGAGGATCAACTCCACTGCCTCTGGAATCTCTCCTTGCCCAGGGAAGGCTTTGTGTTCAGCATTTGCCTTTACTCTAGAAGCCCAACATCGTTGTTGGGAAATAACATGTCCCAGAAGTGTTTTATGAAAGATGATTTGGCAGCTGTTGACTAAGTCTCTGAAGGCTCCAGGCAACAAGTATCAAGCACCTTGTTCTTAGCACACACAGCATTAGAGCTAACCTTTTCCAGAGAAGCTCGGGGGTGCTCCAGCTTCTCTGGGTTGTCACTCACCGTCCTGCAGGGAGTGGTTTGGCCAGGAGCCGGCAGTGCCCGGACTCCGGCAGGTGCCCGACCCCCTCTAGCGGCACAAGGACGGGGCAGGCGGCTCGGCTCGGCTCGGCTCGGCTCGGGAGGAGCTCACAGCGAGCGCTAAGCGACACCAGCACAACAGCTAAAGTACCAAATGCACTTTAATGAGTTCCAGATTTTGTTCCCAGAAGGAATTTATACCGTGTCAGTACATTAGCCAGGTACATAATTTCTCCCGAACTACGGGCACGAGGAGAACCGACTATGACATACTAGGTTCTAAGGTTACTCTTAGAAACCAGTTTTCCACATTAGAAGTAAGGCAGGTTTCAGGCGTGCATGTTGCTGATTTATCCAGTCCTCAGATGCCATATTTGCCCTTTAGTTCTTCCACTTTTGCTATGTAAGCTTTCATTGCATCTTCTTTGGACATTCCTGAAGGACAGAACACAGGAAGCAGTCAGATACCTTTCACAGATGAAGATGCCTTTTACAAGTCACAATTCCTTGCTCTAGTCTGTGCCACTGCAGAGCAAAGGAGCCAGGAAGGTCATTTTGCTGTGAATCCACTGCTAAAGTTTTAAACAAATGTGTTTTATCAGTCATGAAAACACAGCACTTCCAAGCAAAGTTGTTTTTGCACAGACTGCAACTAACCAGTGTACTAGCTCTATTAATGCCATTGACAATTATTACAGGAAAGCTATTCCTTAAAAGACCAGAAAAAAGCCCCATTGTCACAGATCAGACCACTTGTTTGGCTCCTCATTTAGAGCTGGGAGCTCCGTTGTTTCTTCCAAAGCTTTCCAAACTGGAAGATGCATAACAACTGCAGGGAGAGCTCAGTCTCTGGGGCACTAGGCTGGGACCAGGAAAACAAATTTAGATTTCTGCTGCTGTTATTGTTCTTCTTTATTTAACATCTTAGGCCAGCTGGGTATTTTGCACCCTAATTCCCTTTCACACAGGCCATATTTTTCAGGATTACTTCTGCCTTGCAGAGGTAACTAAAATTTATTCTCATGGCATTCTGAACTTCTAGAACTCTTGTATTAAAAGGCAGCACTATCCTGTTTCTTGCTGAACTACACGTGTCTTTCTGACTAGTTTGCCAGGGGTAATTTTGTTAATTTCTTTAATCAGACACTTACCTTTCAATGCACTCCAGGCATCCCACTTTGCTTTGCCTTTGAAGTCCAGCATACCAGGGCGCTCTGAGAAAGACAGGATAAGCAGCAGGATTAGTTTGTGTGATCCTGCTGCAGGTAATACCCACTTGAAGGCTTAGCTAGCTCTTAACTGTGACTAAATACAATGGCTCATCTCTGCAGCTGTTACTTGCTAACCTAGGGAGATCACCTCAGGGGAATATGTTACAACATGGTTGGTGACAACAGAAATAGACTCTTTCAAATTCCCTTGAGACAGCAGCACTTGAGCAGAAGAGCACCAAGAGCACTGTCATTTGGTTTAGTCGTACTTTCTGAAGAGCCTGCTGTCCCATAAGAGCTATCCAATTAAAGAACACCAGCTCTAAAGTAAAGCAGAAACACCCTGAGGTCCACTACAGGCACAGAAACAGACAGCTGCTTGTAGTAACACACAGCTTGGAACTCATTATCATCAGGTTAGTGGTGTATTTGTAACCTACAGTTCTGCATTTGAAAACCCTGGGAGTTTAACTCACTTCACTGCAGGCTGAGGTGTGGCCAAGCAGAAAGTGAATGACATGTATATGGTTAATCTTTGTGTGAAGTCCCCTTTGTGGCTTTACTTCCTCTCTCTCTCCCCTTAAAGATAATTCTCAGAACTCACAAATGGGACTGGGCAGTATCCACAGCAACACCCCTGCGCAGCTCCCGTGGCACAGTGACCTGTAGCTCCAGTTGGCAGCTCCACTTGTCTCCAGCACAAACCCCAGCACCCTCCCTCCCTCCCTCAGGCTGCTGCTCGGGCCAGCTCACGCTGGCTGCTGCTTCACAGCACTGCAGACACTTGCAGGAACAGTCACAGCACTGTTTTATCCTGTCAAGCACTAATAATGCTGATGTCCAGCCACACCGAAAACACCACATCTTAAACCCAAAGTAAATTATTTTCTCCCTCATGCTGCCAGCTTTGGAAGAAAGAGATTAAATTACCATTTCCTGTACACTTCACTGCCAGCTTTCAAATCAATGGACGCTCAATAAACTTTGCCAGCTACTGGGTCAGGAGGCCAGCACTCCAAAGAAATGACCTTTTCCCTTTCTAATTCTAGCTACTCCAGCATTACACAAGGTCGACAGCGACACGCTTCACTTTAAATGTTATTCCAAAGGCTGAGCTGCCACGGACAGCACTGTAGCCAGAAACATTCTGCACTGTGTACCTGAAGACACAATTTTGGTACAGTCTTTCTGAAGTATAGTTAATTGCAGCTGGTCTAAAAGTTTTCTCCTATTCTTCTGGTTTTGCTTTCCAGTACTATTTTTAGCAGCCAATCCAGTCCAAATAAACTCAATGTGTCATCCCCACCTCCAGTGGTATTGCAATTCCACCCTTGCATCGCTGGCCTTGCTCTTCAAGTCTGTGTAAGCGAGAAGTGTTTGCATTAAAGCAGCACCCCTCGGCCTGAGCTCTCCCAAAAACCCAATCCCAATATTTGCACAAAGCTAACCCAAAGCATCCTCAGGCCGGCACTGCATGGCACAGCCGGGTTAATCTAAAAACCACCAATTGCTCAAAGGCTTATCGGGTCAGCCGGTGCCCTCCCCGCCCAATCCCTGCCAGCTCGGCTCCCAGTCACTTTCGCCGAGCCGCGGGGCAGCCGGGGCGGTACGCACCGGTGTTCACGTCGCCCACCGTGGCCTGCTTGTAGTGGCTGTAGATGTCCAGCATCTCCTGGTCCGTGGGCTGCGACTTCAGCTGCTTCACCTCCTCGGCAGCCTTCTGGAACGCGGCCTGGGGGGAAGGCGGCAGGGGGTGAGTGAGGGGAAGGTACCCGGAGCCCCCCGGCTCCCCACAGCCCCGGCGCCCCCCGCACCTCAGTCATCGCGACAAACCCTGCGCGCTCCCGGCTCCGCCGCTTCTGCCCCACCGCCCCCGCCGCGCGCCCGCCTCACCCCTCGCCAGACCGGCCGCCGGCCAATCGCAGCGCCGCGGGCCCCGCGAGCACCAATCAGCGCGGCTCGAGGGCGGGCACAGGGCGGGCAAGGAGCCAATGCGGAGGCGGCGCGGGTGCCTCCCATTCATCAGGGCATGAGGAGACCACGGCGGCGCGGGGGGCGCGGCGCGGGGGCGGGACAGAGCCCTCTCAGCCAATCGTGCGTCTCGGGGGCGGCACCGAAAGAACGCGATTGGCGGAGCGGGTGGGCGGGGCGGAACCCGGAAGTGGCGGCGGAGAGCGGTAATGGGCCCGGTGGGGCGGGAGGGCGGCCCGGTGGGGCTGGGGCGGGCGGCGGTGCCGGTGTTGCTGCGGGTCCGGGGAGGTCCCTCTCTCCCAGAGGAATGGGCCACCAGCGCCTCCCTCCTGCCTTCTTGTCCCCGTGGAGGCGCGGGGTAGTGCACGGTCCCAGCCCTGCGTGCGCTCGGTTTGAGTAGGAAATGTGGAAATTGGCGATTTCTGGTTGAGCTCCCCAGTCCGTGTTCCCACAGTGTTTCTCCATGCCGCTTAGGAGCGAGTGAGCTGAGTGCTGTGCCCTGTGCTGCGCCTCCAAGTCACCAGCCCATGTGGAACAGCACCAAGAAAACATCCATCTCTGCTGTTTAGTATAAATCGAGTTTTATTTTCAGGTGCAAAGTACGCTTTTTTTGGTTGGCATGTGTTGTTTGTGTGGTGTGTGATACACGCTCATTTAAAATGGAATTGGAGCTCGGGGTTATTAGCCAAGGCGGTGCAAAAGCAAGTGGCCTTGTGGGTGGAAGGTCTTTGTCCCCACTCTGCAGATAGTACTTGATGAAAATATTGTTAGTTTGCTTTGCCAGCATGCGGCTGGGACAAATACAGCCAAGGCTGGGGTGCACCTGCAGGATGGTGGGGCACTTAAATAACCCACGGCAAAAAAAGGACAAAAAAAAGACACAAAAGAGAGCATAAGGAGGAACATTTGGAGATGAATGGGTAACAGGCTCCCTCTCAGGACTGGAGGTGGACTCTGAGATCCTGCTCAGGGCTGGGAGGTGCAAAGGTCCTGCTGATGTTGGAGCACATGGGCTGCACTCCTTGCTCGTGGCTGTGGCACTTCAGCACGTGGCCAGGAAGCTGAGGGATGGCCAGCACCAAAATCAGAGATGTTTGTCAAGGTAGAAAAGAGCTTATTTTCCTGTGGAGAGAAAAATCCTGATGGAGCAATACATGGGCTTGTTTGAAGAGGGTTTTGGGTTGATAAGGCCACTCTGTTTTAGGTTCTGCTCTCCAGTATAAGCCCACAGAGCCATTCTAGAGACTGACTATTATAAATTAAATCCCTTAATTATGCTGTAGTATACCAGGAAAATGACTTGCTTGTGTATGTGGGGGTGGTTTTTCACTTTCCCTGGGGAGGTGAAAATGAGCAGTGTGTAACAGCTTAGGCATTTTCCAGAGTATTGCACTCTCTCCAACACAAGTATGTTAAAAAAGCCTTTGGGTTTGTTTGTATTAGCACATTCTTCCAGAGCCCAGCAGGTGATGTCTTCAGTCACTTAAAAACCCACACAACACACTTGGATTTATCTATCGAAACAGGATGACCCCCGTGGCAGGGAGGAGGACTCCATCTTATCAGAAGGCTAATTAATTACTTTATTATACCCTATTATTCTCTATTATATGTTACAGTACATCTAAACTGAATCTGCCAAGCCCCCAGCTCTGCACACAACTGCTCTGACTTGTGACAGTCTGGACACACACACACGCTAGGCCCTGACAGGCCAAGGAAACAAAACCCCATCACTTTGGGCAAACAATCTCCATATTGCATTCTGCTTTGGCACAAACACAGACACAGCAAATGACAGGGATTGTTTTTCCTTTCTCTGAGGTTCAGAGAATATGAAACCCAGAAACATTCTTGGGAAGAATTGTGCCTCCCTTTTCTCTGTGAGGACAACTGTGGCTGCGTTTATCCGTAGCACTTTTGCGTGTTTAATGGGGAGTCTGGTGTGGCATTGCACAGCACGGGGACTGGAGTGTGTGGTGTGCAGAATCTGCTTGTTTTGAGGCCATGTCACTGCCCCAGCAGGAATCATAGCAGTGAAGTAAAATGACAAGGCCCAGTGCTGTTGGATTTCTCACACGTTTTACTCCTGGCACGAGGCCGGCCTGCACCTACGGTTGAACCGATGGGAGCTCTCGGGAGGAGTGAAGAGATGAGAACCTTGACTCCATGTTTCAGAAGACTGATTTATTATATTGTGATATATATTATATTAAAATGATGCACTAAAACTATACTAAAAGAATAGAGAGAAAAGGATCCATCAGAAGGCTAGAAAGGACAGGAGAGGAATGATCACCGAAGCTCGTGACTCTCCGAGTCCGACGCAGCTGCGTCTTTGATTAAGTAGAAACAACTCACATGAACCAATCCAAGGTGCACCTGTTGGTAAGCAATGTCCAGACCACATTCCACAGCCATCAGATTGTTTCCATTTCTTTTCTGAGGCTTCTCAGCTGGAATAGGAGAAAAACCCTAGCAAAGGATTTTTCATAGAATATCATGGCTACACACCCCTCCTTTTCATGGCTTTTCATGCACCTCCTTATCATGGCTACACGCCCCTCCTTTTCCAGCGGTGCTCGTAGGCCGAGGAAAGGCAGTAACTCCTCCCTTTCATGTTTCCCAGGTCGGTCAGGATTCGTTCCCATGTCAGCAGAGAGCTCCACGGTCACGGTTCGCCTGGTGCGCTCCTTCGAGCACCGCAATTTCCGGCCCGTGGTGTACCACGGCGTGCCCTTGGAGCAGACCGTGCGCGACTTCATGGCCTTTGTGCGCCGGGGTAAGCCGGCTTTGCTTCCGCCCCTCCGCTTTCTTCTGGAGCAGACCAGAGGGAATTGTGTGCCTTCGGTGGAGATGCCAAATTCGTGTTTATGTCCCGCTGCGTGCTTTCCTTCCTGGGAAAAACGCCAATCGCTTGTTTTTTAAATTTTTAAAAGGTTTAATACTAATAAAATGGTTATAAAAATAGTAATTAGAGTGATAAAAATGTGAACAATTGATATTAGGACAATATGAGACAATAAAAGCAAAGAGCTACGAGTGATAAAAATGTGAACAATTGATATTAGGACAATATGAGACAATAAAAGCAAAGAGCTACGGACAGTCCGGGTACCTTTTTCTGGGCAAAATAAGCCCAAAAAAGGGCAGAGGATTAACCCTTAAAAACAATAGCCTGTTGCATCTTCATGCATCTCATCCAAGATGCATAAATTCCATTCAAACAAAGGATTCTGTCTGGTCATCGTCAACTTCTTCCTCTTAATCCTAACAGCTTCTTCAGGGCTGAGCAAGGTGGGAAGAAGTTAGTTTCTTCTGATAAGGGAGCAATAAATTCTCTTTCTCTGAAAGCTTTAGGTGTCCTGTGGCTGCTATCTCAGTGCTACTCCTTTCTTCAAAAAAAAAGTATCCTACACAGCAGAGTTTCTATTTTAACATTATGTTACAACCTATAACTATATTTAACACACTACTTAAGAAAATGAATACAGCATAACTTTCTAACATAACACATATAATATTCATTTTAATATTTGCAAAAAGCCAATCATAAAATAAGCATTTTCCACGCTTCCTTAGATGGAAGGTCTGGAGTTCATAAGAGCTTCCATGGTCAGTGTGCCATGACTGAATTTGGATGGACTGCTCCCCCATGCCCAAATTCCCACATTTAGTCTAAAAGAAACAAGGGCATTGCTGCATTTGGCTCAGTGCCTCAGGCTCCTTGAGGGGTGCTGTCAGGCAAATATTCATAAATTAATAGGAATAAATTAATAGAATGTTGAAAGTCTTAGATGTTAACTACACAAATATGTGGAATGTAGGAATGCAAGTCTGTTTGCTATTTGTGAGAAAAGAGAATCTTGAAAATTTGTTTTTGGCACTGTGTGGTCTCACACTGCACGTTTGTTTCTGAGTTTCTGTCTCCATCTTGAGCTGTGTGGTGCAGATTTACTCATCTGTGGGCTTTCTCTTTTATAAGCCTGGTTGAAAGTGACAGTGAATCTAAAAGTTAAGTACAGCAGAGCAGCCCACACAGTGACTCGATAATTAGGGTGTTACCCTTAATCCTGCAGGTGTATTTCCACACACCTCAATGGAGACATTCAAAGGGTACAAAATAACATAACTTTTTTTTTTTTGGTGTGTGTGAAGTCAGCTTAAACAAGTCTTGAGCTGCTATAGATGGTAACATTTGAGCAACTCCTAGGACATTGCCCTGGGACTCATTGGTGTCTTGTGTTTGGCAATTTCCATGCTTCTAGACAGTGACAGGCATGGCAAGGTCTTAGGATGCTGTTGGAAAACTGCAAGCACTTTCAGAACATATGGCACAGCTGCTGTTATGAACAAGAAAATAAAAAACAATGCTACAGAACTTGCTTTTGATGTGTGCAATATTGCAACTCGCTGTTATTTGAGACAAAGCCAATGTTTTGAAAAGACCTACAACCTCATTCCACAGGGGTGCAAAAGCCCTGTTCCATCCTTTACAGTAATCTGTTTTGAAGAGGCAGTTTAAGATAAATGGTTAAACTACTGAAGAAATCATGGCTTCAGCCACCTTGCTGCTGGGCACCCTGCTGGTGGCTGGGCCTTCTGAGGTCCTGGTTAGGTCACAGGGAGCACTGGCACCAGGGAAGGTGTCAGTGTTCCTGCAGTCACATATGGGCTGTGTCCTGCCAGCAGCTAAACAGTTAATTTCCTACAGTTTGGCTTCCTTTTCCTGGCGTGTTTACCTAAGGATTCAGTTCTGGATGACAGTTGTCAGCTGTTTGTCTAAGGTAAAGAGAGATGCTGGGCAAACCATTAAAAGGATGTTCCCAGCAGATTTCTGAAGGCTCAGACTCCTGTGATCATACCCTAATTGCACTGACTCACTGTCCTCGTGGGGTGTTTTGTTCAGAGAGACTTCACGCTCAAATGAAGTTATTCACATATGGAGTCACTATAGAATCTGGGCCAAAGGCTGTGTTTTAGCATTTGATGCTCAAACAAACCTCCTATGTTGCAGATTTATTTTGACTTAAAGGCTGCCCAGGGGATGCATACATTGCACAATAATGGAAAATGAAGGATTGGAAATAATTAAAATAAAGAACTTTGTTTGAACTTTGTGCTTTTATTTTAATAGATGTGTCTTCAAGATCAGGACTTCCTCCTCCTTTTAAAAATTACAAGTATGGTAGGTGGTTTTTATTTTTCTTGTTGTAATTACTGTCAAATGACCACATGATATTTTACACCAGCATTTATACAACTTAAAAGATAATTGCTGTACAATACTAATGTTGGTGCCAGTGCCTGCTTACATTTGCAACTCTGTCCAGCTCTTGTAGCTGGAGTTATGCCACTGGGATCTTGTCTGCAGAACTTGACCATTATTGTGAAGATCTGTTTTAATCTTTGCATTAGGCTGCATAGTTTACATTATTTGCTATTGGGAACTGATGGGTTTTGATATTAATTTTTTATTACTTTTTTAAAGTGCCTTTTAACTCTGTCTTTACCCTAATGAGCAGCTTGTGATCTCAAAACACTTTGAAATTGTAGTTCTCTGTGTGCTTATGTACTTCAGTATCTATTTACTGATGGTGAAGCAGAAGCTGAAGGCAAAAAGTAGAAAATGCTTAAGTCTTAGATACTTAAATAGCTTACACAATATAAGAGAAACAGGGGAACTTGCTCCAAGTAGGTATGAAAGCCCTTAAATACAAGCTGGTGGTGTGAAATTATACTTAAATAGCTTACACAACATAAGAGGAACAGGGGAACTTTGCTCCAAGTAGGTATGAAAGCCCTTAAATACAAGCTGGTGGTGTGAAATAGCATGATGTGAAATATAAGCTGACTTTATCAAAGCTATATGTATATTTTCTTTTTGTGCAAATTGGTATGAACATGTCCATTTCATCTGTTTGGGATAGAGAAAACTTTTTAAATAGACTGAGTTACTTCCTTTCTTGGAGTTTGTAAACTTGGGCATCAGTCACATATCTTTTCCTAAATTTGGCAATTCTCAAAGTTCCCTTGGAGTTTTCCTGCAAATGATCCTCTGTGTTCCATGTCCTTGGAGCTGGCAAACTCCTTCCTCTATGGTCACTCAAAGAACTAAGTGAAAAATCTAATTAATACATGTGAAGGGTAATAAACTCTATTTGCCTATTAAAAAAAAAAACAAACCAAAAAAACCCCAAAGGATTTAATTTTGTGCTCTTGCTGATGGTGAAACAGAGAGTGTAAACTGAAGCTAGAAAAAGAGTTAGGGATTAAGATTGATGATACATCAGTGGCAGGGATTTGAATGTTTTTATTATTTTTAATGTGTTACTTAAGGTCATAGCACCTGGAAGTGTAAGTTTGATTTTGGAGGTGCCCTGCACCCCATTTGTGGCTTTGACTGTTTGAGGGGCTCCTGTCTAGGACTGCTGCTCTCAGCTGTTCCCCTGGTGCTGCCTATCCCAGCTGCTTCTTTCATCACTTGGAGATCAGTTTAGCTTTTCCCAAGACCAACCTGGTGGCTGAGGGCCTGACTGTGCCCTGTAGGACTGTAGGACTTTAAAACCTGTTGCACCAGTTACCGGGAGCCTACTCTTACTGTGAAGGTGCTAACTGCAGGAAAATTTTCACACAGGAAAATCAAAACCAGGTTCCTCACCTTCCCCTCAGGCTGTGAATCATCCAGGTTCATGTTTTTGGCATCTCTGCTATCTCTGCAGTGCTCTGCTGTCTTTCCAATGTTTTTGTGAGGAAAGGGCAGTGAGACTTCTGCAGTAAAAGCCAGACTTTTTCTCCTGTTTTGTTCGGCAGTGCCAGGAGTCTCAGTTGGAGCTGGTTGTCTCTCACCTTGCCTGTTTCAGCTTCCTTCCCTGCAGGATTCAGCACCACTTCATTTTAACATCATATATAATGGCATCACGTTTTTGCTCTTGGATCAGTGCTCCAATTCACATTTCAAAGCTTCTGACTTCCATTTTCTCTTCATTTCTTTGTATAGATTATTCTGGTTCTTGGTCTAGAACTCTTGTGAGTCAGTCTTGTCTTAGCACCTTGTCATTGCCATCTTTTCGCTGATGCTGGCAGTCTGGGTGCCAGCTTGTTCCTTAAGCTGCTTCTCAGTTTTGTTTCTTTCATCCATGAATGTGGAGCACTATGGCAGGTAGTTCATAAAATCACTTAGAAAGTGGTGTCTTATCAATTGCCATGATAGACCTATTATCAGAAAAGGCAAGATAAAACCTTGGCAGTGTGATTGAGTGGGACCAAGTGGGGATGAAATTGCAAAGGCTAGTCAGACTCAGCCTGTGGGAAGAGACTATAGTTTAATCTCTGTGTCAGAGTTAAAGAAGCCATTTAGTAGCTCAGAGGAGCCCATGGTAAACTGCTGGGTGCCAGTGGTGCAGTTCTGAGCAAGCAGAACTGAGGCAATGCTTCAGGGCATGGCTGGACAAGGACTAGAGAAAAGGGAAAGTATCAAAGTAGACAGAGGAGCTTAACACTAACAGGTACTGGTGGGTTTATTTGCAGTAGTAGAAAGGTTTCATGACTGCAATATATTTTTTCTGTGATTGCTGGGTCTTTTTGTAATGTTTCTATGCAAGATGGGTCCTGGTAATTGCAATTTAATGTCTGTCTTGCTTCTAATACCACAGTTATTACAACATGCCAAGGCTGCCTTCTCAGTGACCTCTGCAGTGAGAATACAGAGTACTTCTTACCTTATGTAATGCTTTAAATAGTGTTCAAAATGGGCCAGAATGGTATGGAAGCAAACTTCTGACTGGGAATATGATCTCTGTTATTCTGAACATCTGAATACTTGCTCCTGGTAATTTGAAAGTTGGTTTAGGCAATAGTTAACTTTGCTGCATCCTTCTCTTACCAGACTATTGCAACATGCAATGTTCACTCAACGTACAAAACTAAACTAGAACAGAAAATGAGCAGACAAGCAGAACTGGTTTTTCTTCTTTGCTGGGAAGGTATTGATGTGTTACTCCAGATTTGTTCAAACAGAGTCTTCAGAGTTCAATCTTTTTTTTTTTTTTTTTTTTTTTTTTTTTTTTTTTTTTTGTTTTTTTTTGTTTTTTCTCTTTTCCCTTT